TACGGCAGGTGGAGTGAGGTCCTGAGCTGTGAAAGCGGGTTTTAATCGGTCCACCGAAATATTGTCCTGCTTACCATGCAATGCTACGTTAAAAAATTTCGGACCTCGGCGCAGTACCTTATGCGGACCTGTATACGGCGGCTCCAAAGTCTTCCGAACTCGATCTTGCCTTACAAATACATGGGACGTATGTTGCAGATCCTTCGGTATGTAGAAGGTTCCTCTACTGTGCCAAGATGCATGTTTGGGTGCAAGGTCAGCCATGTGTTTAGCGAGGCGGGTGGCGAAGCTGGTGATGTCTTCAAGCTTATGGTCATCGGTTGGTGAGAGGAATTGGCTCGGCAAGCGTAATGGCTCGCCATAGACCAACTCGGCCGCAGAAGCTTGCACGTCTTCCTTCCAAGCACTGCGCATCCCCAAAAGGACCAGTGGTAAGACCTCCGTCCACTGGGTAGTGTTGTGGCACATGATAGCCGCTTTGATTTGGCGATGTGTACGTTCTACCATCCCGTTGCCCGAAGGGTGGTAAGCCGTAGTGCGAAAGTGATGCGCGCCGACTAGGGATGTAATGGCCTTAAACAGGCCGGACTCGAACTGACGACCTCGGTCCGTAGTAATTCGTGTTGGGCAGCCAAACCTTGCTATCCAACCAGATATTAAAGCAGCCGCGCAGGTGTCAGCAGTCATGTCCTTCATCGGGACCGCCTCACACCACCGTGTGAACCTGTCAATGATAGTGAGACAGTACCTGAAATCAGCAGAAGGAGTTAGTGGCCCTACGATGTCGAGATGGATGTGGGCAAATCTCGACGAGGTGATAGGGAAAGAGGAAAGTGGAGTAGAAGTGTGACGGGTGACTTTGCTGCGCTGGCAGTCAAGGCAGCGTCTTGACCACTCTCTACAGTCCTTGCGGATCCCTGGCCACACAAATCTTTGTGTGACCAGTCGCACGGTAGCGGTACGTCCGGGATGACTCAGACCGTGCAGTGCATCGAACACTTGTCTACGTAAAGCAGGTGTTACATAAGGCCTCGGCGGCTGTGTTGAGACGTCGCAGTATACTTTGGTGTCTGAGCCTGCCGGCGTAATAGGTTTTAGCTTAAGCGATGAACCTTGTAAGAGAAGCACTTGAAGCTCTGTGTCCGTTTCTTGAGCCTTGGCGAGTATAGTGAAATCAATAGCTTTAGTAATCTCTTCTACACGGGATAAACTGTCGGCGACGATATTTTCTGTTCCAGGTATATACCTTAAATCCGTAGTAAACTGCGCAATATAGTCGAAATACCGGAATTGTCGAGGAGAACAATTTTCCCTTGGTGTTTTATAGGCGTAGGTAAGAGGTCGATGATCGGTAAATACAACAAAATGCCTTGCTTCGATCATGTGTTTAAAATATTTGATAGCTTCGTATATAGCTAGTAGCTCCCTATCGTAAGGGCTATATTTTTTCTGAGCCCCGTTTAACTTTTTGGAGAAGAAAGCAAGGGGTTCCCACTCCTTACCGTTACGCTGCTGAAGCACAGCACCAATGGATACGTCGGAGGCATCGGTTAGAATGGAGAGCTCAGCGTGAGGTAGAGGATGTACCAGAAGAGTGGCGTGAGATAGCTCTCTTTTACATTTATTGAAAGCAGCTAATTCCTGTTGCGTCATGTGTACTGGAGCTGATCCCTTGACGGTACCACCTGCCAGTATGGCGTGCAGCGGCGCTTGAACATTAGCAGCACCGCGTATAAACCTTCGATAGAAGTTCAGCATGCCGAGGAACCTCCGCAATTCCTTTACAGTCCTGGGTACAGGGACCTCCTGGATGGCCTGGACTTTGGTGTCCATGGGCCTAAGGCCAGCAGCAGAAACTTGATAACCAAGAAAAGTTACCTGTGACTGTCCCCAAACGCATTTGCTTGCGTTGATTAACACACCATAGTCAGCCAAGCGTGCTAGTAGGGTCCTTAGGTGAGCCTCGTGAAGTCCAGGTGGAGAAAAGACCAGCAAATCGTCGATATACCCGTAGCAGAAGTCTAGACCTGTAAGCACTTCATCTATAAACCTCTGAAAAGTACTTGCAGCGTTGCGCAAACCAAAATTCATAAATTTGAACTCAAATAATCCGAACGGGGTAGTTATCGCAGTTTTGGGTATATCAGGTGGATAAACTGGTAGCTGATTATAAGCCTTTACCAGGTCAATCTTGGAGAATACGGTGCACCCCTGAAGCTGCTGTGCAAAGTCCTGAATGTGGCGAACTGGGTACCTGTCAGGTATAGTACGCGCGTTGAGTGCACGGTAGTCACCGCATGGTCGCCATCCATCATCCTTCTTCTTGACCAGGTGCAGAGCCGACGACCAAGGACTCTCTGATCTCCTAGCAGTACCGTTGGCAACCATCTCGTCAAACTCTTTCTTAGCGATCCCAAAGCGCTCTGGATCCAAACGTCTTGGTCTACAGGCTACTGCTGGTCCAGGTGTAGTCTTAATATAGTGTACAGTTGAGTGCTTAATTGGTTTACCTTTAGAAATGGTACCTGCAGGACGGGTCAACTCCGGAAACTCTCGCAGTAGCTGGTGAAACTCTGTAGTCCCGGTCACAGTCTTTATAGATGCTACGTCATCTGGAACTCGTTGTGGTGCTCCTGACACGGTGAGTGACGTGGTACCATCAGTAAGCCTGTGATTACGACAGTCTATTAACAAATTATAAAAACTCAAAAAGTCAACACCTATGATTGGTTTCGATACATCAGCGATCGTGAACTTCCATTCGTAGTTTCGGCGAAGCCCTAGGTCTAGATTCAATTGAATGGGACCATAGGTATGTATAATAGTACCATTCGCAGCTGTCAACCCATATTTAGTCCTATAACAAGGGGTCTTAACTGCTGATCGAGGAAACACACATAGATCTGAGCCGGTATCGACAAGAAAAAGCATTTTTGATCGTCTCTCAGGTATAAACAGTCGGCCTGTACCATTTGGGCAGTCAGCCGCCGCTAATTCCGGCTGCCCCTTGAGTTTTCCGCTCGCCATTCACACGGTTGTACACATTTGCGGGCTTTAGCTCCATACGTGTAGTGATAGTAACAGTGTGGGTAATCAGGGGGTGGCTGTCGAGGCCGTGAACGAGATCTGGAACCTTTGAAGTTCCTTGACCCAGTACGGGTATGTGAACGGTTACGTACCTGATGTTGTGCGTCCAACCGAGTGGTGAGTAACGCCACTTGCTTACTAAGTTCACTTATCTGTATGGCCATCTCCTGTACGAGTGACGGCTGTCCCATTGCTGAAGCGCTCGCCACCTGCTGGGGTCCAGCGGGTGCAATGTCGTGCACAGTATCCGCTAATTCCGCCAATTTATCCAACGAAAGCTCGGGCTGCGACGCTAAAACTGTTTGCAAATTATTAGGAAGCCGACTAGACCATAAGGTCTTCAAAAAATCGTCAGGCATGGATGGGCCTGCCAGGTTTTGCAGGTGCCGTAGAAATTGTGAAGGCTTTCTATCACCTAATTCCTCATACCTCAACAATTGTTGTACCTTACGCTCACGCGACGCTGATAACCGCTTGATAAGCTCCGCTTTTAATTTTCCATATTTGTCTACCGCCGGTGGTTTTGTTATCACGTCTTTTACCTCCATTGCATAACGCGGTTCCAACGCGCAAACGATATGCTGAAATTTTGTCGAATCAACCGTTATATTCGCTATTGCAAATTGACACTCCATTTGGGCGAACCACATTTCGGGGTCATCCGGCCAAAATGGAGGTGGACGTACACCCACTCTAGAAGTTTCCAACGCAACTGGCGCTTCTTTTTCATCAACCATTGTCGGAGGGTCACCAATGTAGGCGTAAAGTCCACGGGGTAAAATAAATTAAACACGAACTTGTAACACAAACGTACAATAGTTTATTTACGGTCACTTTTGTATTAAAAACTATAACAGTTAGCCACAGAGAGAGGAGAAGCTTAGACACGCACAAAAGACATAGAAAGGCACAATAGTTTAGCTAGAATAGATCACAGTTTAGGAAGATTACGAAAACAGAAATAAATACGTTTTATCACTGATAGCACGGGGTACTAGCTAGGCACATATTAAAGCGAACAAGCGCGGAGTGTGCGTCGGGCGGAAGCAAACAATGCACTATTAGGTGGGAGTAGCCTCGAAACGAAGCTGCGCCGGCGCCTCCGAGCGGACCCGAAGACTGCCGAAGGCCACACTTCGTCCACCCAGCTGCACCGCTATATGTACATAGCATAAAATGAAGTCGCTTCCTGTTCCTGCACGCTTTGATTGTTTTAACTACGTTTTCACCAAAAGAGAGAGTGATTCAAGAGCAAGGTTTATATGTGGAATATTGAACATGTTGTTCATATTGATAAAATCCGAGAATTTCAAAGATTTGTAACGTGATGTCGTAATAATTGCTTCCTTTCCTCATCAAAAAAGAGGAAATTCTCAATTTGGTTGTGTTTTCTGTAACCAGACTGGTGATTAATATAGATATGTATATATTTCTAAATACGTATATATTATAGATAAATTACACCAAGACACAGAACGATTTATCTTGCTCAATATTTATCCTGGGTGGGAATCAAACCTATGACCTCTGGTTTAGCTGTCATGGTCACTAACCACTAGACCAGACCAGGCCTGACAATTTTTTATGGTATAGGGGTATGGTCATGGACATCTTATTTTTTATGTAAGAGGGGGCAGACGAGCAGACGGGTCGCCTGATGGAAAGTGACCATCGCCGCTCATGAATGTCTGCAACTCAGGAGTCAAGTAGGCTCTTTTCTTGAAGGTTTGAGTGTTGTATCAGTCCGGTAATACAGCAGACGATAACACTCATTCCACAGATTGGTTATTCGAAAACCACAGATTGGTTGTGCGAATCTGTAACTTAAGACCCACATGCGGTGCCACTCTTTGAGCTCCTTGATTAAAAAGGTCTTTAAACTAGTATTTAGCATAGTGTACTTTCAGATTATTATGGCTGGAGGACGCAATTCTTATAAAAGTAAGAAGAAGAGCAAATTTGGAGGAAAGACTCAATATAAAAGCGAAGAACAAAAAAGAGGTGAAGAGAAGGAAAATGAAACAGTGAGTGTTAATATTAAGGTCATGTTTTAAAATATTCAACGCCATCTAGGGAAGAAAGGGCGTACTTTTTTGTAACAACTGGATCTGTATCACGCAATCAAAGTATAATTGCTTGTCCTGTTTAGAAAATCCTCTTTCACAAAAAAAAAGCAATTTCTTGAGACACCTTAAAATTAGTTCTGTTAGATAAAGATAGTTTTTAGTTTATAGTATAAGGGGCAAACATGAGAGGCTCATTGCTAGGTGGTTAACACATTGCAAAGTTAAGCAATCCTAGCCAGGTCAGCCTATGGATGGGTAACCATTCTTAACACATTAAGAGCCCTCCGTGCCTCGAAGGACGGACATCTCTGGCAATCGCTACGGGTAGTTGGAGCCCTAAACAGTCCGACAACAGTCTCTCTACAGATATCGCCTGGCCCTTGGGTACAGTAGGTAGTAGGTAGAGGTCTGATGGCAGTAACTCTGCGTAAAAAATCGAAGTGCTGAACTTACGGTAGTACACGTAAAACCGACCCCTACCCTATTGGGGAAAAAGTTCGGGGGAAGGACGCAAGGGATTAGGGGTAAACGAGCAATTGAGTCACCTGATGGTAAGGCACTACCGTCGACCAAGATATCTACAACTAAATAATCGAGAGTTAGGTGGCGCGAGATTTCCGGTAACCTCTTACTTGTTGAAATACTATGAAAGAATTACTTAACACCGGTTTTCTGTGAACCCGTGGTCTCACTCCGGTCGGGCTGGCCCATTTCTGCCGAAGCATGGCTCTTCCATGGTAGAGGTTTTTAGGTGATTATCAGCTAACTGTCTACCAAGTTTTTACGCTTAACCGCTGAACTACATTTCGAGGAATTTTGGTATATGTAAAGGATTCTCAGAGAAGGACACAACCCACTTGAAGGAGGGGAAATCGGAGATGGAAGTTTCAGATGACATTTAATGCAGACAAGGGCAAGGGCACTTCATCATCATCGTCGTTCTCGGCTGGTCAGAGACCTCTCCTTAGAAAGAGGTTTCTGCCTACTATACCACCCTGGCCAGACATGTTGCACACACAATGCTGTTGTCCTGCGTAGTTTGCTCCCTCGGTCGCCTCTTACGGCACCCACGAGATAAATAAGAGTGGTAACACTACGACTTCTTAATAAATACCATTTGAATGTTACAGATAAAAAAAGAAAATGCCAACCAAAGAGAATCTTCAGGTGTTAAATGTGAAAATAAAAAGAAAGATCAGATTGAAAACGCTGAGCCTATAGAAGTAACAGAAAGAGAAGAAAATAAAACAGTTGATAGAAGCTGTCACGATTCAGCAACAGATAATAGTCAAGTTAAACCTTGTCAAAATGAAATAGAACTGGTAAGTCACAAATATATTATTATGATGTATTTTACTTAACCATGATCTGTAATAACAAGTATCTATGTATTTATTTGCCACTACTTCCACCGCAAAATTCGGTTATAAACAAAATGGAAATGAATGAATTTGGCTATTTATTTCAAAGTGTAGATTTACATACTAGAGAAGAAATAATACATGCGGTCTATAACAGATCGAGCCCATCATCTTCGAACAAACTGTATATTGTAAAACAATGTGCGTGCTTTATAATTTTGTACAAAAATCTTTCTCCATCACAGTTACAAAGAATTAATTGTGTTTGAGTCTTTGAAGTCAAGAAAGTTTGATTATGATCATTGATCTGGAAGAATAATAATAATAAAAATACTAATATTCTACCACATTCACACAAGGCCATATAGTCCCAAACTAAGCAGAGCTTGTACTATGGCTACTAGACAACTTATATAAATACATTTATACTTTTTTTTTTGTAAAAACGTACATATTGTATAAATAATATGTACGTTTTTACAAAAAAAAAAATATAGAGACACCCAGACCAAATGAAACATTAAATGTTCATGCACACAAATGTTTGACTTAAGCGGGAATTGAACCCGCGACCGTTGGAATAGCAGTCCGTTACACAAACCACTACGCCATTCAGCCGTCAAAGCAGGTAGAAAATAAACGAATTGTATACTCTACTAATTAGAGGGCGAGGTATATTTGTTAAAGCGTTATAAAATGGAGGGTCTCAACTTAGTCTTATGAACTAAGATAATGGGTTTATTTTCAATAATAATATGTTGCAGAAGGAAGAAGTTAGCAACACGCAAACAGATGTTACTGATGATAATGAAAGTGAATTAGAAATTAATGCTGAGAGGAATGAGCAAATAGACAATGTGTTGGTAAAAGTATCAAGTGCTCGAGGCACTAATATAACAAACTCAGTATTCCAGAATCATCTAGACCAAGAAAGGGGTGATGAAACAGTACCTGTAAGTTAACATGCGAATTATGTACACATCTTTATATTCTTATTAAATTTATTATTTCTTTATAAAAAAATATTGAGGATGTCGAAATTAACACGCCAACTACATGTTGGAGTTTTTTAAAACCAGCCTCTAGCTTCCCTTACGGGCTAAAATCTGATTAAAAAACTGCGGTATTTCTAACGTGTCGTTAAAAGGAAATTGGAAAATATTCGGTATAAAACCTACCTAAGCTGCAAAATAGTTGCTTTAACCTGTGTCCAGTTACCAAACAACAATAATGACATAATATTATTTTAAGCCTGCTACACCAGCTGTTCAAAGTCATTTAATTAAAGATGTAGATACTGAAAATAAAGTAAGTGATGAATTAAAAGATATGCGCAAAAACGATCAAAGTGAAGAGGTACCGGATGATGATCAAGCTGACACAAATATGACAATTATCGATAAGAAGATATCGGATGATCAACTAAATCCCCAAGAGATCAAGCCAAAACAACCAGTAAGTATAGTTTTTATAAATAGGTGTGGTCAAATTTTAGAAGCTTTTTTAGGAGCCTACTATAAAAAAAAAGATGTAACAGTAAAATATATTAAAAATGCATTTTTCGGACACTGCTTTGACATTATATTGTATTTATTATACTATACATTATACGGTGCAACATTAAAAACAACATGTTTTGAATTTCAGCTCAATTTTAAATATTTTCAGCACAATCGGCAAATTACATCGATATCATCGGTATTTAGTACTCATAGTCACGTCAAAAGTTTCCCAAATAGTTTAAACGGTAAGGCAGATAAAGAAGAAGACATAGAAACTAAGATAAAGAAGCAACTAAATCAGGCAATGATAAAAGTAATAGTCCGTGAAGGGGCTATTACTTTCATAAAGCCAGAACCTCAGGTTGATTTGGATTAAGAACAAGCCCTAAAATATTATATGAGTTAAAGAAATACTATGTTGCACAGTATAATATATATGTAATATATGTAGATATACATACATGTTTACTTCTCTTTTATCGTCACAACTAATATATATAGCAGAAATTTTCTTCCTAATATTTATTTTTCCCTAATATTAACTGGTTTATTAAAATTAATTAGTTTATTAATATATAATCTCATAAAAAATCGACAGAAACTTAATACTAAGAAGAATAAAACATTGTGTCTCCTACTTTTAGCCCCAGGAAGATGGAACAGATAAATGTATTCAGAATTTTTTAAGGGATCAAAATATTGAATATCTGAGAGATCTTTTCAGACCTCTCATTTTAGAAGCTTTGCAAAATATCATTCCCAGTTATCCTCAAAATGGAAAAGGACTGGATAAAGAACCGTCGGAACCAGTTGTCGACGAAATAAATAACATTGAAAAAATGAAAGACCTACTACAAAATAAGCGAGAACCCAGTGATCAACCTCAGAATGAGAAAAAAGCAACTGAACGACTTCAGAATACGAAAGAACGAAATGATCAATTTCAGGATGATAAAGAACCAAACGATCAATGTCAGTATAAACAAGTTCCAACTGAGCAACTTCAGAATGAGAAGAAAACATTTGATCAATTTCAAAAGCCGAAAGAAGAATTTGTACAGAATATCATAGTCAGTAGCCCTAAAAATTCACAAACAATTGGCGACAAATCAAATGGTATTAGAGAACTGAACGATCAACTGCAGAATGGGGAACAACCAACGAGGGATGACCAACTTCAAGAACCCAAAGAAATCAAGCCAATTAGATTTGTAAGTCTAAATTTACGAGTATTATTGTTACAATTTAAATCAACAGCTGAGGGCCTTAGCGTGTAAAATATCCACATTTTTCTAACTACAATGTAGTCCCTTACACGTAATAGATAACAATGAAAGATTCTAAATATATTTAAAGAGAAAGATGGGCAAGAAGGAATGGCAACGAAGCGAAGGGTGTAATTTTAAGCTATTGCATAGCTTCTATCGCGCCTTGAGCGTGGAGACCGAATCCAGAAATTCCGTAACGAAAATAACCTAACACACCCCACGTGATACTTTTTAGTTTTGCCATCTATCGATGAACAGCAGAACTTTTAATGACTTTTTTGAAATATCACGCTTCTCTCTTTAGTTCAGCAACTCGCCTCTAGGTGGCATTGGTTGTATCGGCGTTACTGCGCATGGGAAATCCCCCTCTTCGCCCCGCAATCTAATTAATATCAAATAAAAAAAAACAAAGGAAAAAAAATACTCCATAAATAAAATAAATAAATAATTATAATTGCATAAGTTAATAAAAAATGCTATGCAATAGCCTTACCGCGGCAGTCCCCAAGTGCCACACGTCTTCTTTTAGTGAGTGAGAGCAGGCACTGCCCGCCGTTCTCTGTTTCTAGTAGTCGATCTTAGAGAGAGACAGTGTAGTGCGAGCATTGAGTGTAGCTACCACGATTGCCATGACGTGAGAGTACGTAGATTATTCTTTTATCTAATTTTAGATGCAGAAACCTGAAGATGGTGAGATATTGTACACAGAAGCTTTACAAATCTTTATTCAATCTATTGTCCCTGAATTAACACAAATCCTTCAGAAGAAGTTCTCTCATGGTATACGTAGTTCAGGTGCACTTAAAAGTGAAACTAAAACTTCTTTAGCTGAAGACTCACAGATTCCATCAAATGAGCTTGATGTCCATTCCCTGCTTAATCCGAATATAGAAATTAAAACTACCGTGAGTATCATTCATCTAATTTTTTATGTAATTTGTCTGTTTAACAAAGATTTAAATATTAACTTAAAAAGTAAACGAATTGTTTTGTAAAAATATTTTAAATTTAGGACATTCCTAACTTTGAGAGTACGAGAATCGAGGAGTCTGATGAAGTTAAAGGACATGATGAAGTAATATCGATAGACCCGACTGGAATTCAAATCAAAAAGGTAATTTTATTTTAATCATTTTAAAACTATAAAACGCAAAGGTTCCATCGTAAAAAAATACTTTTTAATTATTGGAAAAAATATAAAAATATTATATTCCAATGTATAAATAATATTTTACATTTTGGAATTGATTAACGTCATATCATCAGATACGACATTAACAAATAGAAACTGTGAATAGAACTATATATGCATTAATTAGTAGTAATTAAAGAAAATAACGTGTTTTTAAAAGACAAAAATTTAAAACACAAGTGTCCTTTTAGGCTTAAGATAGTTCTGTGCTTAATTATTTTTTTACGTATGTATACTTATTTATCCTCCAAAACTTAAATTTCTCAATTAGAAACACACATCTCTTTTTCTGTCCTTTCGCCTTTGCGTACCCATGACGGAAATAAGGCGTGAGTGTATTTACTTTTACACTAAAATGATTTATAAATTGTTATATTAAGTACATAGACCCTAAACGTTTGGGGGACGGATGTCTTGGTTGGTATTTGAGGTACACAAAAACTTTTCTTAAAGTCTCAGGTCGTAGAACAACAAAACAGAGAACAACACCCATTCGCAGAAGAAGAATTAAAAGAAGAAGTGAGGAGAAATGATGAAGTTGTAGAAGCCGATGACAGTATTGTGAAAACGAACGGATCGTTAGATCTCGGTAAGGGCCCTAGTGATATAATGCACACTGCCTACTCTTTTAGGGATATAGGCGTGTATTTAGATATAGAGTCACTCCGTGTAGCGATGGATTCAGAATAAACTCAAACTCAAACTCAAATTCAAACTCTCTTTATTTTATAAAATTTTCAAAATTCTTTGAAATCGTCTTTACACGACGTACGGAGTGTCACCACCCCTATTCATCTCGTGGGTGTAGTAAAAGGCGACTAAGGAAGCAAACTACGCAGGACAACAGCACTGCAGAGAGAAGAAACACTTGACACAAACCCTATACCAACCCGTCTAACCAGCTTGGTGTAGTAGGCCAAAACCTCCTTTCTAAGGAGAGGCCTATGTCCAGCAGTGGACTAGTAAAGGATGTTGATGATGATAAGTTAGATATGTCATACACAGAAGTTTATTAAAAAACTTATAACGATGATCTCTTAATCTACAGTTACAACCTTCGGTACCACCTACCCTGAGATCAAACCTTTACAAGAACCAATGCGGTTCCACGCTGTTCATGGAGACAATATTTGTCTGTCGAAGAACAATTTCCGGGCTCAACGCAAGAAGAAATCCAACTTTTTTAGTAAAGGCATTGCGTTTAGTTCTAGACCAGTCGCCGTTGGTGAAAAGGTGAGAAACTTAATGAGTGAGAAGTACAATGATAAAAACTAAAGGTACCTCATATACTGATAGACCTTAATTTATTAAAGTCAAAGTTTATATTTGAATTCCTTGTTTATATTGTGGACCAGATTAATTACTGTTATTATTTAAAAGAATAATGGCATAAACATATTTACCTAAAACTTAAGCGTTTAAAAAATCGAATCACAGTAAACTTAATCAATATTTTTTCAATGATTTATCATTACACCACCATGTGTTGTATAAGTCTTATAAGAGATAGGATATTTTTGAAGATTTTATTGACCTAAGTACGTAATGCCAGATTCGCCATCACGTATAACTGACTAGGGATGCGTGGTGGCAATATTATATTATGAAATGTTTTACCAATATCAATTGTAATAGCTTTGGCTGAAATATGTACCGAAGGTTCACCTATTATGATCATGAATTTGCTTCTGCCCACGGCTTCACTCGTACGGTAGAGTGACTGAATCAACATAATTAGAAATAATTTAGAACATTTTTGACTCTCTTTAAACGATTTTAAAAACACTAAAGAAATAGACTATACATAGTTATGTTATTTGCCGACGTAAAAAATATACACTACACAGTGTGATGCGAAAAATACATTGTCATTGATAACGGCACATAAATAGACATACATCGATATTTTCAAAATGTCGATACGTCGTCGTTTAGATCCTGTCAAGTTCCGGACTCACCCCGTTTGTTATTGGAACGAAGTTCCTTATCGCGCGTTGTGAAAGGGGGCTAGACTAAAAAATTCTTACGAAAATTGGTCACGACACTTTTTGCTATAGTAAGCTATTGTAAGCTGTGCGGCGTCGCATGTTTCTCCGTCTGTCTCTCTCTCTCTCTTATAGAAAGCAAGCCAGATATTTTCATTTCTATCTTTTTATGTCAGTCATTCAGCGCCATCTATCGAATAGATAGGAAATCATTTCTCAAGGAGATTTTACCAATGTATAAATTGTTTTAATTAGAAACCAACTGAAAAATATGTAGGTAATAGCCGCTTTCATAGATGGCGTTGTAATTAAAATGTGCCGAATCAGTTTTACTCGATCGTTACAACTTCGTTCCTATCGGGTGTCCCACGACACCACACGGCTTTTTTATTTTTGTTTAATTTAGTGTTAAACTCGCATAGATATTATGCTTTTCTATTTTTTATTTCATATACTGTAATAATAATAAAAATAATATCTTCGGCTATCTGACACACAACGCCATCTAGTTTTAAACAAAACATTATCAATATGTTAGTACTTAAAATCGAAACATTCAAAATCAATACCTTTTTTCCTAGACTTCTTTCGCTAGTTATTTTGGTATGAGAATGGTCAAGAATAAATTCACAAGTGTTAAGGATTTTTTTATATTAAAACGCTAACATTTCAGTACAAATAAAATTATGTATGGGGACTGGCCATTGTTCCTTCAGTAGTAAAATTTAGCTTTCCTGTAAACTTATAAAATTTACTAAAAAATCTTACTTATCTTATTAGTATTATATTTTGGTTTGATGAGTTTTATAGTTTTTTTTTTTTCATTTACTGTAAGACACATAATTGTAAATCGATACTACGATATTTAACAAGTCTATATTTATTAGACACGTATTTAAGTTACGATAAATCGAAAACTCTTGAACGTTTATAATTTCACTTCCAGGTATCCTTTCACTTAAGGCAACTCTCAAGTTATTGGCTCGGCCTTATCACCATTGGCTTTACAACTAACGATCCGATGTCTATAGCTGACAATCTGCCCACCAATGTCATTAGTGAACGAGACTGCGCAGATGGATTCTGGGCCGAACACTTGGATAAAAAATATTACCAGGAAAGCTGCAGATTACATTTTTACTTGAACTCCTCAGGAAACATGTGCTTTGGAGTTAATGGTGTCGATAAGATTGAATTTTTTTGGAATTTAGAAACGACAACACCAGTTTGGGCGTTGATAGATGTTTTTGGATACTTTACAATAGTGGAGTTTGATATACCGAAAGAATTGCATTACACAAGTTTCGTAGCATCCAGTCTCCTTTCAGGTAGAAATGAATCTGACTACTCAATGAATCAATCTTTGGATGATAACGAGAAATATAAGCCTTGTTTGAATTACCAAATTCGTTTTGTGCCTTTTAATTTATACACACAAGTTGAAGGCACTTGCATGAAATTCTTAGAAGACCGAGGTGTTTGCGTAACTTTAGGTGATAAAGGCGGGTGCATTGACGGCAAATTACCGCTCTTTCCCGGACAGACCATTGTAGTTCAAAATTTGTCTGTAGGGAAGGCACTCTTTTATATTGGGGTAAAATACGGTAGTCCAACAACTGAGGTATCTAGTCAATTACCGGAACCCGTTAAAAGTAATTTTGTTATGCACGTAAAAGACGAACTGGCTATAACGTTCACAGAAACCGGAGAAATACGAGTCACAAAGAACTTGGATGTACCAAAAACAATTCTCAAAGTGAACCGTTCTCAAGAACTTTGGCCGTTTGTACAAATATTGAAAAGAAATCAAATGATCAAGATGTGGAGTAGCAGTACTCCTTCTCTTGCTGCGTTCCAGACATAAGTAAACTAAAACTAGATAGGAATAATCATAGATTTTGGAAATAAATGTTATTAGATTTCTACCTAATTATATTTAGATTTACACTTATTTTTAATCAATAACTTGGTGTTTAAAAATTGTCGAACAGTTGCAAATTTTCTGGCATAGGGTTATATCTAAAATAAATATATAAAAGAAATCAAATAATACAGATGTGGAGCAGCAATATGCCTTCTCATGCTGCATTCCTAACATAAAATACATTTTATTAGATTTTTACCTGATTAAACTAAAATATACTCGTTTTTTTTAAAGGCTTATTGGCAACTGAAATTATTAGTATTCTCGTTAAGGAGTGGGTTCACGTCGGTAGTGTACTGGTCAGGATTTGCACCCACGATCTCTTGATCGCAAGTCCAATGCCTTAATCACTAGGCTACCTCCGCGTATTATACAAGTATTGTGAAATAAGTATTTTTTTTTTAAATAATGTATTGACCAATAGCAAGTTACCTGACTTAGGATTGCAGGTTTTTCAATCCTTAGATAAACAGTTAGATAGCATTTATTCCACAGTTAGTGTAATTTTGGATTTTTTTAATGGTGAGATAGCTATTATCTGAAGAAAAAAGCTTTAATCTGAGGAATAACTTTATCTGTTAACGCCGTAGTTAGCGATATTATCTGTAGAATAGTGATTTTGACTTTTGTGTATTTGTTTACATTCTCTAATATTTGTTGTGGTAAAGTTTTTACATGTTGCCCTACACATCACATCAACAGCCTGCACTAGTCCATTGCTGGGACTTAGGCCTACTACACCTCGCTGGCCAGACGGGTTGGTATAGGGTTTGTGTCAAGTTTTCCTTCTCTCTGCAGTGCTGTTGTTCTGCGTAGTTTTTTCCCTGTTGCCCTTATTGACTATTTAAATTTTGCTATGTCCTGAGAGAAAAGAAAGGGTATTTAAAGAAAGATATGACAATACTTTGTGTGATGCTGATGATGAACAATTTTATTACAAGTTATTATCAAATGCAGTTTCTCGAAATTTAAAGCTCGTTTTTTACTTGATTTTATTTTATACGAAAGTAACACTAATAATATGCTATACCCCATTCACACAACGCCATCTAGTCCCAAACTAAGAGCGCAGAGCTAGTATTATGGGTACTAGACAACTGATATAAATATATATACTACATATTTTGTACACAAAATGTACACAAATTGTTTGAAATGAGCGTTAATCGAACTCGCGACCTTTTGAGTAGCAGTCCGTTACACAAACCACTACACCATTGTTCACCATCACTACCACTGTCAATAAGGTTGTCTTATTATCCAACGACAAGCAATGCCAAGAAAATAATGACACAAATGTTGTTTAATAGCTTGTAGTCCTTATCTGACGTGTTACTAACTGTATAAATGCGTCTCGTTTGCGCATGTTTACAGTCATCTTAGCCATTAAAGGCCATCATGTAACTATCCGTCGTTTTACACCCCATTGAAAAACAGAAAAAAATTATATGCCTGATAAACAGCAAGATAAATTTATTCCCAAGTTAGTTGTCTGACAGTATAACTGAAGATTGAAAAACAGGTCCTTAGAATAATATTTATAGTATTTGAAGGGCCTGTTGGTCTACTGGTTAGTGACCCTAACTGCTAAGCCGGAGGTCGTGGGTTCGGTGTCCACCCAGGACAAATATTGTGTGATGATTTGTTCTGTGTCTGAGTGTAATTAAATTAATTAAAAAAAGTTTAATTAAAGGAAATGTAAGTATTTAGAAATATATAAGTATGTTTTTCAGAAGTTTTTTTACCATAATACAGGCTCTGCCTAGTTTGGGGTCAAACGGCCGTGTGTAAGATGTGTAAAGTTATTATTATTATTATCACAGTCCAAGTTCCACTTATTTAAAGTAATGCGAGAATCCCAAAATCGATCTAAGTGGCGTGCAATTGGAGAGACCTTTGTCCAGCAGTGGACTGCGATAGGCTGATGATGATGATGAAAGTAATGAAATCAATTATAATTAGTTTGCTGCATAAGGTACTTCCTCGGAGATTTTTTTTTGTAAAAAAGTACCATAGGAAGGTTAGGTATTTTTATTGAAGTACTCAACCTATTAAGATACTGTTGTACTTTTGTAAGGATCTGACCAATGCCTTTGACCCAGTGTTTGTGGTTGCACACACTGACTCAAAGGCTTTAGTCAAATCTCAAATGTGTTTAATGAATAAGTGTTAAATGTAATCATGCTTTACATGTGGCTAGTTTGGTTAATTTCTTTGATTGATTTTTTCGTTATCAGTTTTTAGTGTAGCCGAAACGTATGGGTGATTTTTTATGCTATTTTTGTAATAGATTAAAACTTAGTTTGACTTAGAAGTGTTTGTCTTTTATCTATTCTCAAATTTACGTATGTTTTAACTTTAAAGTATCTTAAAAATCCATTAATTTCAAGTTTAATTAAGTTTTTTGTTATCTCTGCATCTGTTATTTTCAAACTTACGATTATTAATGCATTGACTTGATCTGAGTTCATAATAGTCAACATTATTAAGTTAAGAAATGTCGTTAATTCTTGCTTTTTTTAAAAATAAATATTTGATTACAGCATTTGTTTTACTAACCCGTTAATAAATACTATAAAATACAAAGATAAGATAATTTATTTCATTTAGTTATTTATTTTTTTAATCCTATGTTAAAGAATTACAGAAAATTGCAATACAATCATATATAATTTTGAATAGTACAGCGTATTTAAAGCATTAGTTAATATTCTGTGTGGGAGACTGGAATCTGCACTGGGAGGAGACCTGTATTACAGATTACCAGCCTCTCCAAACTCTGGACAGGTGAAGGCATAGTCGCAGTAAATATACAATAAGTGACTGCATAATAGTGTGTGTGTGTGTGTGTGTGTGTGTGTGTGTACCCAAGAATTCCCAAGAAATTATGTTGGCACATTGAGTAGATTTTCAGTTTCCTCGTAATTAAGAGACTTCAGCCACGAAGTGATAGTTCTTTTACACTTGTATCGGGTAAGTTGGTAAGTCGACAAATGATGTGTTTTAATCTTTTATAATTACACGAAGGCTTGTATGTCAGTGTAGAATGCTGTTTGACGGTAGCATTTAGGACATATAGTTGGCGGATGACAACAGATCCATGTGTTGGTAGAAGCTCAATTTATTGTCAAGCATAACACCAGGATATTTTATGACCGAAGCACAAGTTAGGTGTTTACATGAACAAGGATCACGATTAAGAGAACATGAGTGGGCCGTGATTGTATAGTAACTCAATTCGGTCGGTGCTATACTTTTTATTGCGAATGGCAGATATTTAGTAGGCACAGAAGATCAAAGCGGTGTCATCGACGAAGGTGACAATCTTGCCGTTATTTATCTGAAGGTCATACAGGTCGTTGATAAAGGTGAGAAAGAGCGTCGGGCCCAACACGCTGCCCTGCGGCACGCCTCACTCCACCCGTAGATCATCACTGGTGACTCCCTCTATCCCAACGCGCTGTGATCTGTCGGTAAGGTAACTTTTAAACAGATTGAGTTGAGTGCCACGAATGCCAATAATTTCGAGTTTGAACAGTAAGAGTGGAACAGAGACCGTGTCAAACGCCTTTGCTAAGTCAAGAAAGATTGATACTACTTTTTTCTTTCTATCTAAATTACTTACAATGTAGTCTGTAAGTTCATGATCTTGAGCCGGCCTATACATGTCGAAGCATGACTCTCCTACCATAATTTCATTCTAGCTTTCATAGTACAAGCTCTGCTTAGTTTGAAACTAGATGGCGTTGTGTGTTATATGTTCAAAATATTATTATTAGTATTCTACGACTGCTGTGCGTAGGTCTCAGGTTCGATTCTCGGGTCGGACCAAATGTTTGTATGATCTGCAAATGAATGTTTCGGAGTTTGGGTGTTTCCTGTGTTAGGAAGTTTATTAAAAAATATTAATTTATGAAAGAAAAATATATGAAATTTATATAAAATAAAAAATCACAACAGAAAACAAACAAAAACAGTTACTATTTGACCAGGAGCTGAAGACATTTTTGAGGACATTGTAAGGTCGTGGTATCATACTGGTCGAGTCGGTCCATGTGGACTGAAGCATGGCTCTGATAAATTCATGTGAAGGAATCAATAAAACAAATAACCTAATCAAACATTTATTATTAAAAAAGTAACACTTTCTTCATAGTTTTTCGATACATATATATTTATTTTGCTAAATATTTGACGAAACAGTCTACATTAAAGACTACCAATAAAAAAAAAATAAAGATAGAGTTAGAAACATAAGTTGAAAATGAACATAATACGAAAAAAATATCATTATTTGAAAATATACTATACACACACACACTTCTTATTAAAGTTTCATTAAAAGCTATACCAAAAAAAAAATGCCAGTCTCAGTTATATTAAAAACTGTCAGTATATGGAGACGCTCACAAAATACAACCCATCAAATAAATCAGTTAACTACTCTTATAGGTACATTATATCAAATACTTATTTTGGTCTAGTGGTTAGTGACCTTGACTGCTAAGCCAGAGGTCGTGGGTTCGATTCCCACTGAGGATAAATAATTGTGTGATGACCACGGTCATTTGATTTGTGTCTGGGTGTACTTTATCTATAAGATGTATATATTTAGAAATATATAAGTATGTTTATCAGCAGTCTGGTTACCATAGTACAGGCTCTGCCTAGTTTGGGATCAGACGGCCGAGTGTAAGATGTGTACCGACTTCAAACCTATCAATAGGTAGCACATACAAACAATAGTATTTTATTTATATTAAAGGTTTGCATAAGATGTACACTGGACAGCAAATAAACCGAGCCACCCGCTACCTAGGCACTCTAATTCGATTTTCTCAAAAACTAAAAAACCTACAATTAACAAAGTTGTACCTACAAAAAGTGCGTTTCATGGTGATTAAAATGAAAGGAAACTCATTGGGTTTAATCAATATTTCAGTGTTTATTAAGGATTTTACAAAGAAGAGTCGTTTTCCAGTTGTGACAATCGTTAGTAATGATAAAGTGAAAAAAAAAAATTAAAGCCAAAAACAAAGATAAAATCAAAAAAAAGTTTTTGATCAATATTCCGCATTCCCTCCCCTTGCTCGGATAACTGCCAGCATCCTTGTATTCATCGACCTTACGAGCCCGACGATAAAATCTTGAGGAATTGTATTCCACTCCTCTTCAATTGCGATTCGCAGCTCTGGAAGCCTTGTTGGACAGGTACCCGGGCTCGAACCCGACGTTTCAGCTCATTCCATAAGTGTTCTATCGGATTCAAGTCCGGGCTTCGAGCTGGCCAGTCCATCGTACGAATGCTGACGTCGCGTAGATACTGGGTCACCACATGAGCAACATGAGGCCATGCATTATCATGCATCAATTGCATATCCTGTCCGATATATCCTGTGGATTTCAGTAATGTAGCGATGAGAAGTCAGTCCACGTGTACGGCCCGTCGGTTCGATGAAAACTAAGGCTGTATGTGCTGTTAACGAGATGCCGCCCCAGACCATTACAGATCCTCCTCCATAAGCAACAGTTTCCTCGATGCAACACTGAGAATAACGTTCTCCAGGGCGACGATATACTCTCTGACGTCGATCACTTCCATGTAGACTCACCCTGGTCTCATCAGTGAAGAGTACATTACTCCACTGCTCTAATGTCCAATCCCTATGCTCTCGAGCAATTTCAAGTCGTGCTCGACGGTGTGCTACCGTTAATGCTGGGCCTGTTGCAGCTCTTTTTGGGGTCAGGTTCCGTTCAGCAAGTCTCCTTCTGACGGTATCTGAACTTATGACCACTTGGCGTTCGTCACGCAGACTTTGTTGGACTTGAACTGCGTTGAGGTGGCGATTTCGCAGAACAGTAAGGTGGATATAACGATCATCTGCTGCTGATGTAGCCCTAGGTCTGCCCGTACCTGGACGGCGATCGAATGCTCCAGTCTCTAGGTATCGTCTGTAAACTCGTTGCACCGAAGATCTGCTGATTCGAAGCCTTCGAGCGACTTCACGTTGCGCAATGCCTGCTTAAAGTAATGCTACAGCTTGAGCTGCTTCCTGAGGTGTTGTATCCATTATTAATTCAAAAAAAGTAGCAAAAACACACGCGTCTGAGCAAACGATGGACAAAAACTAAAGAAATGATAAGAAATATCCGACTACCCTCATTGTAGAGAAAAAGAATTTAATTTCAAACTCTGGTGAAAACAGAGCAAATCGTTAGCATTGTGTTTGTTGCTTGATTACAATGTGAGTTGACGATACTTTCGAATTAATTTTTAGTCAGTTTAATCACCATGAAACGCACTTTTTGTAGGTATAACTTTGATAGTTGTAAGTTTTATACTTTTTGAGAAAATCGAATCAGAGTTCCTAGGTAGCGGGTGGCTCGGTTTATTTGCTGACCAGTGTATATTAAATTTAATCTTTATTAAGTTATTTTATACTTTTTAGTTTTTGAAGTCGGTTTTTTTAAACGTAGTTTTTTTTTATTTTTTACTTTATAGTGTCTGAAATAGGTTGTTCTGATAACTACAGTGGATTTTTCTAGATTACATCAGGTAAACTATAACATTTCATTGCTTTTTATTGTCATATGTCTAATAGTATTTTTTTTTTTGTTTTCAAATAGTAAGTAGCTATGGGTACGCCTACGAAAGGTGCAGCGCGCCTTAAACAATATAGATCTGAAGAAACGGGAACGTAAAAAAGGAATCGACTCCGAAAAAATGCTGTTCGAAACTCTATTTCACATTCTTGTGAGACAGAGATAGATCGTGAAGAACGTAGAAGAAGAAGCTATGAAAAATTATATAAAATTACGTTCACGTCAGGAAACTCTTGAACAGTATGAGTCTAGACTCGCTTGCAACGATTAAGACAGTTAAATCTAGATTAATTTTTTTACCTTTTTTTAAAATTTCCTTTTTATTTATTTCTTCGTTCCAAGATTTTATATGCAATCGTATTGGTTATAATATTTCTCAATTTCTCTACTCCGCAAGCTCGCTCCGCTTCAATGACAGGTAGCCTAAGACCACTTATCGGGACACGGGTTAATAGTAATATAAAATCAACTTAAATGAAAACTCTTAAAAAGGCCGTACACAAACTAAAATTATATCATCCAAGTAAACGATAATATTCATTAAAAATATTCATAAAATAAAATATAATCAACTTAAATGGAAACCCCCAAAAAAAATGTTCATAAAATAATATATAATCAACTTAAATGTAAACTCCTAAAAAGGCCGTACACAAACTAAAATTATATCATCCAAGTAAACAATATTATCCTTTAAATATCTCCTAAAAAACTTTTATAAAATAATATAAAATCAACTTAAATGAAAACTCCTAAAAAGGCCGTACACAAACTAAAATTATATCATCCAAGTAAACGATAATATTCATTAAAAATATTCATAAAATAAAATATAATCAACTTAAATGGAAACCCCCAAAAAAAATGTTCATAAAATAATATATAATCAACTTAAATGTAAACTCCTAAAAAGGCCGTACACAAACTAAAATTATATCATCCAAGTAAACAATATTATCCTTTAAATATCTCCTAAAAACTTTTATAAAATAATATAAAATCAACTTAAATGAAAACTCCTAAAAAGGCCGTACACAAACTAAAATTATATCATCCAAGTAAACAATAATATCCTTTAAAAATCTCCTAAAAACTTTTAGAAAATAATATAAAATCAACTTAAATGAAAACTCCTAAAAAGGCCGTACACAAACTAAAATTATATCATCCAAGTAAACCATCATATTCATTAAAAATGTTCATAAAATGAAAACTACTGGGCCTAACTATGTAAAATTTTTATGGAACCAAATGGCAACTATTCCGCATCAAACTAAAGAAGAATCACGTAAATCGGATCATAAATCTCAGAGTAATCGGTGTACATACATAAAAAAAAATACCAATCGAATTGAGAACCTCCTCCTTTTTGAAGTCGGTTAAAAACATCGAACCTACTAAGGTATTTTCACAAAAATACATGTTAGTGTATTCAAAAGACAAGAAATATGTGCATTTGGAATTAACAGGAAAGTATCCCACACGAGAAATTAATTCTAATTAATTTATTACTTTAAGTACAAAAATTGAACGGTATAGATTTTAGCCTATGCCAGAAAATTTGCAACTGCACGACAATTTTTAAACACCAAGTTATTGATTAAAAATAAGTGTTAATCTAAATATAATTAAATAGAAATCTAATAACATTAATTTCCAAAATCTATGATTGTTCCTATCTAGTTTTAGTTTACTTATGTCTGGAACGCAGCAAGAAAAGGAGTACTGCTACTCCACATCTTGATCATTTGATTTCTTTTCAATATTTGTACAAACGGCCAAAGTTCTTGAGAACGGTTCACTTTGAGAATTGTTTTTGGTACATCCAAGTTCTTTGTGACTCGTATTTCTCCGGTTTCTGTGAACGTTATAGCCAGTTCGTCTTTTACGTGCATAACAAAATTACTTTTAACGGGTTCCGGTAATTGACTAGATACCTCAGTTGTTGGACTACCGTATTTTACCCCAATATAAAAGAGTGCCTTCCCTACAGACAAATTTTGAACTACAATGGTCTGTCCGGGAAAGAGCGGTAATTTGCCGTCAATGCACCCGCCTTTATTACCTAAAGTTACGCAAACACCTCGGTCTTCTAAGAATTTCATGCAAGTGCCTTCAACTTGTGTGTATAAATTCAAAGGCACAAAACGAATTTGGTAATTCAAACAAGGCTTATATTTCTCGTTATCATCCAAATATTGACTCATTGAGTAGTCAGATTCATTTCTACCTGAAAGGAGACTGGATGCTACGAAACTTGTGTTATGCAACTCTTTCGGTATATCAAACTCCACTATTGTAAAGTATCCAAAAACATCTATCAACGCCCAAACTGGTGTTGTCGTTTCTAAATTCCAAAAAAATTCAATCTTATCGACACCATTAACTCCAAAGCACATGTTTCCTGAGGAGTTCAAGTAAAAATGTAATCTGCAGCTTTCCTGGTAATATTTTTTATCCAAGTGTTCGGCCCAGAATCCATCTGCGCAGTCTCGTTCATCAATGACATTGGTGGGCAGATTGTCAGCTATAGACATCGGATCGTTAGTTGTAAAGCCAATGGTGATAAGGCCGAGCCAATAACTTGAGAGTTGCCTTAAGTGAAAGGATACCTGGAAGTGAAATTATAAACGTTTAAGAGTTTTCGATTTAGCGTAACTTAAATACGTGTCTAATAAATATAGACTTTTTAAATATCGTAGTATCGATTTACAATTGTGTCTTAGAGTAAATGTATTATTCACTATAAAACTCATCAAAACAAAATATAATACTAATAAGATGAGTAAGATTTTTTAATAAAAAAGTTTTTTTTAATAAAGTTTACGGGAAAGCTAAATTTTACAACTGATTTTTTTAATAATAACAGTAATTAATCTGGTCCACAATATAAACGAGGAATTTCAATATAAATTTTGACTTTAATAAATTAAGGTCTATCAGTATACCTATCACTATATCATCTCACTCATTAAGTTTCTCACCTTTTCACCAACGGCGACTGGTCTAGAACTAAACGCAATGCCTTTACTAAAAAAGTTGGATTTCTTCTTGCGTTGAGCCCGGAAATTGTTCTTCGACAGACTAATGTTGTCTCCATGAACAGCATGGAACCGCATTGGTTCTTGTAAAGGTTTGATCTCAGGGTAGGTGGTACCGAAGGTTGTAACTGTTGATTAAGAGATCATCGTTATAAGTTTTTTATATACTTCTGTGTATGACATATTTTACTCATCATTAGCAACAGCCTTTACTAGTCCACTGCTGGACATAGGCCTCTCCTTAGAAAGGCGGTTTTGGCCTACTACACCACGCTGGCCAGACGGGTTGGTATAGGGTTTGTGTCAAGTTTTCCTTCTCTCTGCAGTGCTGTTGTCCTGCGTAGTTTGCTCCCTTAGTCGACTCCCACGACACCCACGAGATGAATAGGGGTGATGACACTCTGTATTCTTAATCCGTCGCCACACGGTGTGACTCTATATCTAACTACACGCCTATATCCCTAAAAGAGTTGGCAGTGTGCATTATATCGCTAGGGCCCTTACCAAGGTCCAATGATCCGTTCGTTTTCACAATACTGTCATTGGCTTCTAAAACTTCATCATTTCTCCTCACTTCTTCTTTTAATTCTTCTTCTAGTTCTTTTAGTTCTCTGTTTTGTTGATCTACGACCTGAGACTTCAAGAAAAGTTTTTATGTACCTTAAATACCAACCAAAACATCCGTCCCCCAAACGTTTAGGGCCGATGTAATTAATATAAGAATTTATAAATCATTTTAGTGTAAAAGTAAATACACTCACGCCTTATTTCCGTCATGGGTACGCAAAGGCGAAAGAACAGAAAAAGAGATGTGTGTTCCTAATTGATAAATTTAAGTTTTAGAGGATAAATAAGTGTACAAACGTAAAATAAGCACAGAACTATCTTAAGCCTAAAAGGACATTTGTGTTTTAATTTTTTGTCTTTTAAAAACACATTATTTTCTTTTAATTACTACTAATTAATGCATATATAGTTCTAATAGGTCTTTACCTATGAAATTGCCGTTTTGTATGCAATGAGTGAAAGTACTTATTTTTTCAAACTTTTTTATTTCTGTTATTCGAATTCACTTATTGCATACAAAACGACAATTTCATAGGTAAAGACGTATTATTCACAGTTTCTATTTGTTAATGTCGTATCTGATGATATGACGTTAATATATTCCAAATTGTAAAATATTATTTATACATTGGAATATTTTATTTTTATATTTTTTCCAATAATACTTCGTACTATTATTTTAATAAATTACACATAAAAAGTAAATAGTTAATTTTTACTACGGAACCTTTGCATTTTATAGTTTTAAAATGATTAAAATAAAATTACCTTTTTGATTTGAATTCCAGTCGGGTCTGTCGATATTACTTCATCATGTCCTTTAACTTTATCAGATTCCTCGATTCTCGTACACTCAAAGTTAGGAATATCCTACATTTAAAATATTGTTACAAAACAATTCGTTTATTTTTAAGTTAATAATTAAATCTTGGTCAAACAGACAAATTACATAAAAATTAGATGAATGATACTCACGGTAGTAATAATTTCTATATTCGGATTAAACAGGGAATGGACATCAAGCTCATTTGATGGAATCTGTGAGTCTTCAGCTAAAGAACTTTTAGTTTCACTTTTAAGTGCACCTGAACTACGTCTACGATGAGAGAACATCTTCTCAAGGATTTGTATCAATTCAGGGACAATAGATTGAATAAAGATTTGTAAATCTTCTGCGTATAATATCTCACCATCTTCAGGTTTCTGCATCTAAAATTAGTTAAAAGAATAATCTACGTACTCTCACGTCATGGCAATCGTGGTACCTACACTCAATGCTCGCACTACACTGTCTTTCTCTAAGATCGTCTACATTCAATATTATACGCATTAAGCAATTAAGTGATAACAAAATTTAGAAACATAGAACGGCGGGCAGCGCCTGCTCTCACTCACTATAAAATTACACCCTTCCATCGCTGCCTTTCCTTCTTGACAATCTTTCTCTTTATATATACTTAGAACTTTCATTGTTTTCTATTACGTATAAGGGACTAAACTGTAGTTAGCAAAATGTGGATTAGCCCTCAGCTGTTGATTCCTAAATAAAAACATATTTTCTCGTCCTTTAGCTAAATTGTAATAATAATAAATTTGGACTTACGAATCTAATTGGCTTGATTTCTTTGGGTGTTTGAAGTTGGTCATCCCTCATTGGCTCCCCATTCTTCAGTTCCCCATTCTGCAGTTGATCGTTCAGTTCTTTAATACCATTTGATTTGTCGCCGATTGTTTGTGACAATTCTTTTTCAAGGCCTTTTGCATTTTGAGGACTACTGACTATGATATTCTGTACAACTTCTTCTTTCGGCTTTTGAAATTGATCAAATGTTTTCTTCTCATTCTGAAATTGCTCAGTTGGAACTTGTTTAGACTGACATTGATCGTTTGGTTCTTTATCATCCTGAAAGTGATCATTTCGTTCTTTCGTATTCTGAAGTCGTTCAGTTGCTTTGTTCTCATTCTGAGGTTGATCACTGGGTTCTCGCTTATTTTGTAGTTGGTCTTTCATATCTTTGATGTTATTTGTTTTGTCGACAACTGGTTCAGACGGTTTTTTTTCCAGTCCTTTTGCATTTTGAGAATAACTGGGTATGATATTTTGCAAAGCTTCTAAAATGAGAGGTCTGAAAAGATCTCTCAGATATTCAATATTTTGATCCCTTAAATAATTCTGAATACATTTATGTGTTCCATCTTTCTGGGGCTAAAAGTAGGAGACACATTGTTTTATTCTACTTAGTAGTAAGTTTCTGTTGGTTTTTTATGAGATTATATATTAATAAAGAAGTTTTTTTAACAAAAGATTTTCTTATTTTCTTTGTTAATATTAGGGAAAAAATAATATTAGGCAGAAAATTTCTGCTATATAGTGTGACGATAAAAGAGAAGTAAACATGTATGTATATCTACTTCATAGACTATATATACGGTAGTAGTAGTATATCTTTAACTCATATAATATTTTAGTTTTTTTTTCATAATCTAAATCAACCTGAGGTTCTGGCTTTATGAAAGTAATAGCCCCTTCACGGACTATTACTTTCATCATTGCCTGATTTAGTTGCTTCTTTATCTTAGTTTCTACGTCTTCTTCTTTATCTGCCTTACCGTTTAAACTATTTCGGATACTCAAGTTTGAATCTTTAAAGTATTCTACTGTAGATTCAATAGCGGCACCAGCCCGTTAGACTTAAACACTAGTATCTAATTCTAGTAGTCTACTCAACAAAAAATAAAATAATCACAACTTTTTTAATAACTCAACCTCGTAAGGACACATTTCTAAATAAAACTTCTTAGGTGATCTGGTAATCAAAAATATGGGACAAGAAATTGAGAGTTAAATTTCAAAGACGCCAAATTTAAATAATTAAAGGCAATACGGCGACACATAATTAGCTGCACGACATAAAATTTACGATATTTATACAGAAATCTTATTTTGAAGGTGACAAAATGCACTTTAAAATTGAGACGATGAAACTGGTGACGTGACTATGAGTACTAAATACCGATGATATCGATGGAATTTGCCGATTGTGCTGAAAATATTGTATATATACTGACATATTTGTGTCAGCTTTATCATCATCCGGTACCTGTTCACTTTGATCGTTTTCGCGCATAACTTTATTTTCATCGTATGCATCTTTAATTAAATGACTTTGAACAGCTGGTGTGGCAGGCTTAAAATAATATTATGTTATTATTGTTATTTGGTAACGGGACACAGGTTAAAGTAACTATTTTGCAGCGGAACCTTACATCGGAATCTTGCCGGGGTGGAAGGTTTTATACCGAATTTCCAATTTCCCTTTAGCGACACGTTAGAAATACAGCAATTTTTGAAATCGGAATACATTTTTTTTTTCAGACTCTAGCCCGTAAAGGAAGCTAGAAGCTGGTTTTTAAAAACTCCAACATGTAGTTGGCGTGTTAATTTCGACATCTTCAATAAATTTTACGGAATATAAAGTTGTGTAAATAATTCGCATGTATAATAGTAAGTAAAATAATTAACATAGATATAGTTAACTTACATGTACTGTTTCATCACCCCTTTCTTGGTCTATATGATTCTGGAATACTGACTTTGTTACATTAGTGCGTCGAGGATCGTCTATTTGCTCATTCCTCTCAGCATCAATTTCTAATTTACTATTTTCTTTATCATCAGTAACATCTGTTTGCGTGTTGCAAACTTCTTCCTTCTGCAACATATTATTATTGAAAATAAACCCATAATCTTGGTTCATAAGACTAAGTTGGGCCCCTACATTTTATAACGCCATAACAAATATACCTCGCCCTTTAATTAGTAGAGTATACAATTCGTTTTCTTTCCACCTGCATTCTTCCAGATCAATGATCATATTATGTTGACTTTCGAAGGACCCTAACTCTGTTAGGTTTAGCTTTTCTTGGTTTCAAAGACTCAAACACAATTAATTCTTTGTAACGGTGATTTAGAAAGATTTCCGTACAAAATTATAAAGCACGCACATTGTTTTACAATATTCATTCATAGTTTTACATTATACAGCTTGTTCGAAGATGATGGGCTCGATCTGTTATAGACCGCATGTATTATTTATTCTCCAGTATGTAAATCTGCACTTTAAAATAAATAGCCAAATATTCATTCATTTCCATTTTGTTTATAACCGAATTTTGCGGTGGAAGTAGTGGCAAATAAGTACATAGATACTTGTTATTACAGATCATGGTTAAGTAAAAAAAACATCATAATAATATATTTGTGACTTACCAGTTCTATTTCATTTTGACAAGGTTTAACTTGATTATTATCTGTTTCTGAATCGTGACAGCTTCTATCAACTGTTTTATTTTCGTCTCTTTCTGTTACTTCTATAGGCTCAGCGTTTTCAATCTGATCTTTCCTTTTATTTTCACATTTAAGACTTGATGATTCTCTTTGGTTGGCATTTTCTTTTTTTATCTGTAACATTCAAATGTTATTTATTAAGAATTCGTAGTGTTACCACTTCTATTCATCCTGTGGGTGTTGTAAGAGGCGACCGAGGGAGCAAACTACGCAGGACAACAGCATTAAGTGTGCAACCTGTTTGGCCAGGGTGGTGTAGTAGGCAGGAACCTCGTTTCTAATCGTCGTTCTAGAAATGGGCCAGCCCGACCGGAGTGAGAAGACGGGTTTACAAAAACCGGTGTTAAGTAATTCTTTCATAGTATTTCAAAAAGTGAGTAAGGTTACCGGACATCTCGGGCCACCTATTATTTCACTCTCGATTATTTCGTTGTAGATATCTTGGTCGGCGGTAGTGTTTTACCACTACTTACCACTCTTTTACGCAGAGTTACTGCCATCAGACCTCTACCTACTACCTACTGTACCCAAGAGCCAGGCGATATCTGTAGAAAGACTGTTGTCGGATTGTTTAGAGCTCCAACTACCCGTGGCGATTGCCAGAGATGCGGTCTGCGGTCACCACACAATTAAAGGCAATACGGCGACACATAATTAGCTACACGATATAAAATTTACGATATTTATACAGAAATCTTATTTTGAAGGTGACAAAATGAACTTTATAATTGAGACGATGAAACTGGTGACGTGACTATGAGTACTTAATATCGATGATATCGATGGAATGTGCCGATTGTGCTAAAAATGTTTAAAATTGAGCGGAAATTCAAAACATGTTGTTCTAAATATTGCACCGTATATATAGTATTGTACATATACATACATACTATATAATGTCAAAGCAGTTTCCGAAAAATACCTTTCTAATATTTTAATGTTTCATCTCTTTTTTATAGCAGGCTGCAAAAAAAGCTCCTAAAATTTTACCACACCTTTTTATAAAAGCTATACCTACAGGTTGTTCTGGCTTGATCTCTTGGGGATTTAGTTGATCATCTGATATCTTCTTATCGTCAAGTGTCATATTTGTGTCAGCTTTATCATCATCCGGTACCTCTTCACTTTGATCGTTTTTGCGCATATATTTTAATTCATCACTTACTTTACTTTCATCATCTACATCGTTAATTGAATGACTTTGAACAGCTGGTGTAGCAGGCTTAAAATAATATTATGTCATTATTGTTGTTTGGTAACGGGACACAGGTTAAAGTAACTATTTTGCAGCTTAGGTAGGTTTTATACCGAATATTTTCTAATTTCCTTTAATGACACGTTAGAAATACCGCAGTTTTTTAATCAGATTTTAGCCCGTAAGGGAAGCTAGAGGCTGGTTTTAAAAAACTCATACATCCTCAATATTTTTTTATAAAGAAATGATAAATTTAATAAGAATATAAAGATGTGTCCATAATTCGCATGTTAACTTACAGGTACTGTTTCATCACCCCTTTCTTGGTCTAGATGATTCGGGAATACTGAGTTTGTTACATTAGTGCGTCGAGGATCGTCTATTTGCTCATTCCTCTCAGCATCAATTTCTAATTCCCTATTTTCTTTATTATCAGTAACATCTGTTTGCGTGTCGCTAACTTCTTTCTTCTGCAACATATTATTATTGAAAATAACCCCATAATATTAGTTCATAACACTAAGACCGACGGCATATTGGTTTGTGTAACGGACTGCTATTCCAAAGGTCGCTCGCTGGTACGATTCCCGCTCAAGTCAAACATTTGCATGCATGAACATTTAATGTTTGATTTGGTCTGGGTGTTTCTATGTATAATAAGTATGTATTTACAAAAAAAGTATGTATGTATTTATATCAGTTGTCTAGTAACCATAGTACAAGCTCTGCTTAGTTTGGGACTAGATGGCGCTGTGTGCATGTGGTTGAAAAAAGAATAAGTTAGAACCCTCCATTTTATAACGCTTTAACAAATATACCTCGCCCTCTAATTAGTAGAGTATACAATGATCAATGATCATAATCGAAGGACCCAAACTCTGATATGTTTAGCTTTTCTTGACTTCATTCTTTGTAACTGTGATTTAGAAAGATTTTTGTACAAAATTATAAAGCACGCACATGGATTTACAATATACAGCTTGTTCGAAGATGATGGGCTCGATCTGTTATAGACCGCATGTTTTATTTATTCAAATAGCCAAATATTAATTCATTTCCATTTTATTTATAACCGAATTTTGCGGTGGAAGTAGTGGCAAATAAATACATAGATACTTGTTATTACAGATCATGGTTAAATAAAATACATCATAATAAAACATTTGTGACTTACCAGTTCTATTTCATTTTGACAAGGTTTAACTTGACTATAATCTGTTGCTGAATCGTGACAGCTTCTATCAACTGTTTTATTTTCTTCTTTTTCTGTTACTCTTAGAGGCTCAGCGTTTTCAATCTGATCTTTCTTTTTATTTTCATATTTAAGACCTGAGGATTCTTTTTGGTTGGCATTTTCTTTTTTTATCTGTAACATTCAAATGTTATTTATTAAGAATTCGTAGTGTTACCACTTCTATTCAGCCCGTGGGTATCGTAAGAGGCGACCGAGGGAGCAAACTACGCAGGACAACAGCATTGAGTGTGCAACCTGTCTGGCCAGGGTGGTGTAGTAGGCAGGAACCTTGTTTCTAATCCTCGTTCTAGAAATTGACCAGCCCGACCGGAGTGAGACCACGGGTTTACAAAAACCGGTGTTAAGTAATTCTTTCATAGTATTTCAACAAGTGAGTAAGGTTACCGGACATCTCGGGCCACCTAACTCGATTATTTAGATGTAGATATCTTGGTCGGCGGATGTGCCTTACCACTACTTACCACTTTTTTACGCAGAGTTACTGCCATCAGACCCGTACCTACTACCTACTGTACCCAAGAGCCAGGCGATATCTGTAGAGAGACTGTTGTCGGACTGTTGAGGGCTCCAACTACCCGTAGCGATTGCCAGAGATGTCCGTCCTTCGAGGCACGGAGGGCTCTCAATGTGTTAAGAATGGTTACCCATCCATTGGCTGACCTGGCTAGGATTGCTTAACTTTGCAATGTGTTAACCACCTAGCAATGAGCCTCTCATGTTTGCCCCTTATACTATAAACCAAAAACTATCATTATCTAACAGAACCAATTTTAAGTTGATTGTCTCAAGAAATTGCTTTTATTTGTGAAAGAGGATTTTCTAAACAGGACAAGCAATTATACTTTGATTGCGTGATACAGATCGATTTGTTAAAAAAAAAAGTACGCCCTTTCTTCCCTAGATGGTGTTGAATATTTTAAAACATGACTTTAATATTAACACTCACTGTTTCATTTTTCTTCTCTTCACCTCTTTTTTGTTCTTCGCTTTTATATTGAGTCTTTCCTCCAAATTTGCTATGCTTCTTATTTGTAGAAGAATTGCGTCCTCCAGCCATAATAATCTGAAAGTACATTATGTTAAATACTAGTTTAAATACGTTTTTAATCAAGGAGCTCAAAGAGTGGCACCGCATGTGTGTCTTAAGTTATAGATTCGCACAACCAATCTATGGAACGGGTTATCGAATAACCAAACTGTGGAATCTGTGGAATGAGTGTTATCGTCTGCGGTATTACCGGACTGATACGACCTTCAAACCTTCAAGAAAAGAGCGTACTTGACTCCTGAGTTGCGGACATTCATGAGCGGCGTTGGTCACTTTCCAACAAGTCACCTGGACCTGTCTGCTCGTCTGCCCCCTCTAACATAAAAAATGAGATGTCCATGGGCGGCGATAGTCACTTACCATCCATACCCCTATACCATAAAAAATTGTCTGGCCTGGTCTGGTCTAGTGGTTAGTGGCCATAACAGCTAAACCAGAAGTCGTAGGTTCGATTCCCACCCAGAATAAATATTGAGCACGATAATTCGTTCTGTGTCTGGGTATAATTTATCTGTACGTATTTAGAAATATATTTAAATATATATATATCTATGTTAATCACCAGTCTGGTTACAGAAAACACAACCAAATTGAGAATTTCCTCTTTTTTGATGAGGAAAGGAAGCAATTATTACTATGAACAATATGATCAATATTCCACATATAAACCTCCCTCTTGAATCACTCTCTCTATTGGTGAAAACGTAGTTAAAACAATCTAATCGTGCAGGAACAGGAAGCGACTTCATTTTATGCTATGTACAGATGAAAGATTTACATTTTCATGGTAAAACATGAGTATTAAAGAAAACACGCAACCCGATTGGCTAAAAGGTTACACCTTTTCTAAAATTTCCAATTAAGACGAAACTAACGATACGCCTGAACCGCCAAAATCAATTACACCGTTTAAGTTACACAGCGTTCCAAAACTATATAACCCCCCCCGCCCCCCCCCCCCCCCCCCCCCCTATAACCCCTGTTCATCTCGTGGAGGTCGTAAGAGTCAACTAAGGGAGCAAACTACGCAGGATAACAGCACTGGAAAGAGAAGGAAAACTTGAAACGAACCCTCTAACAACCAATCCGGCCCGCGAGTGAATATGTGATATGAATGAACTCTCCTAAACCAGGAGTGAACCGTGAACCTGTGACTCAAGAGACTTCAATTATAGGTTCGTTAATTTATAAGTAGCTGACTAACTGAATTTTCCCCGTTTTTGCGACACTTTGCGTGATGCTATATAGCCTTAAAGTCATCCTCGGTAAACAGGCAATCCAATATTTTTCAATTCGAAACAGTAGTTACTGAGATTAACCAACAAACTGTTCCGCTTTATGAAATTAAGGATAGAGTTTTTGTTTCCTGCCCTTCTTCAACATACAAACTTACGGTATTTCAAGTTTCACATTCATCTGTTAGTGGAATTTCCTTAAAGAGTTTTACAAAGACTTCTATTCATATGTTCTTTAGGTATAGATTATTTACAACTTGTTGTGTTTGTGTCTGTGTGGTGACGGATTAAGAATACAGAGTGTCATCACCCCAATTCGTTCCGTAGGTGTCGTAAGAGCCGACTAAGGGAGCAACTACGCAGGACAACAGCACTGCAAAGAGAAGGCAATCTTGACACAAAGCCTATACCAACCCGTCTGGCCAGCGTGGTATAGTAGGCCAAAACCTCCTTTCTCAGAAGAGGCCATGTCCAGCAGTGGACTATTATAGGCTATTGATTGATTGAATGCTGATACTAAATATACTACAGAATGTCTTTATATACAACGTTCACAGCTTTTTCATCATTAGACACTACAAACATGTTTTCTTTAGAGGTAACTCTTGAAAGAGCGACATATAATTGGCCATGTGAAAAACACTCAACGCTCAAATCTAAGCAGCAACGTTAAAAGTTTGAGCCTGTGATTTATTAATGGTCATTGAAAAAGATATCATTACCGGCAATTGTGGGCGTTTAAATTGGAACAGTAAATCCGCCGGTATCACTTCAGGAAATCAATACATCTTCTCCAGTACCACATCCGGTGAGTATTTTGCACTCTATTATGAAAGTTTTTAGTGATTTTATAAGCAAACGCGTGTTATTGCAAAATTTTGGTGGATTCAGGTTTCGACATTTCCGCAAGGTACTTTCAACACCATTTTATGAGTGTTGTCAATAGTGGGAGCCCGGGCATGCACTTCGACTGATAAAATCCTCCATAGCGCTCTGAAGTAGTCAGAGCTGCAGACGTAACGTCCAGACTGATATTTTTTCCACTTCATGTGGTGATTGTATGCTGAAAGTGGCTTGATCGCTACCTTTATTAACGTATTTACTAACATATTAGATTGAATTTATTGAATTGCAAAACTCTACGTTGATGTGGACATCAAACATTTTGAAAAGGAGCTGATTACAGGGAACGATCTAGCGGTTATCATTTACCGGAGTGATACCACGGCCTCACAGAAAACCGGTGTTAAGCAATTATTTCGTTGCCTTTCACTGAGTGAGTGAGGTTACCGGAGCCCAAATCCCCCCTCCCGCTGAATGGAGCGGGAGAGACTCCAAGGGCAGCAACGCACTTGTGACTTTTGAGTTGCAGGTGGCCATGGGCGGCGGTAGTTGCTTACCATCAGGTGACCCGTCTGCTAATTTGCCCCCTTATACCATAAAAACAAAAACAATATCTTGGTTTCGAACGATGGCACTTTGCCCACCCTGTTCTGGCAATCGCGATATTAGGGATTTCCGTCATCGCTAATAGATGTTTGAGTTTGCAACGACTTCGGTTTTTTTTTTACTGCATTTGGAATCTCGCATACTTGGAGAATTAGGGTTTAAAGTCCCGCAAGGGCCATGTACCATGTGTTTCTTTACGATTTCGAACAGGAAAGGATCTTCTTTAACCGGTAGTTCGGCTGAAATAACGCTTTCAATTTGATTTGATCTAATTTGGTTTTTCTAACCACACCAGCAGATGTACATGTGGCAAACCACGTTTCTGCCATTCTATAGTGTACGTATAACAGCGCGGCGGATCGAATATATGAGACTTGTTAATGTGGTGCAGGAGTTTCTGTACTCTTAAATGGAAGACTCTGTTAACTATATCGTATCTGTACTGTGGAGTTAATTTGGTGTTAAAATTTTCTTTGATTTATGGCTAATTTGGGTTGCAGTTATAAATAAATCAGGTTTACCGCAATGTCTGACGTAAGTCCAACTGTGAACGATGAAGGTAGTATAAACAACTGTCCAATGCTGTTGTTGTGTTCATTCGCCTGTAAAACATCCTGAAGGTGAACGTAATTTTCTGCTCTCAATTTAGTTGTTCAATCCAATCTCTCAGATTCAATTTTCGCATATTGATCGACCAAGTATTGGTTTGTTAACATTCCATATCTAAAAAGGGTTGAAATTGTTACGTCTTGTCATTATACGGTAGCAATAGTAGTTCATACATGACACTGTTTTATGCAGAGGTGCATCACAGATTGGGTCAACTTGAGAAACATTAATGGCATAACCATCTTCTCCACGACATAGCGTCAAAGGATAATGTAAGCTGTCATAAGATCTGTGTAACTCTTGCAAATTATCATCACGACTATGCAACACAATATCTCTTTAAGGCGCATTATATCGTCCTCTGTTCTCCAACAGGAACTTTATTTGCATGGATTACGAAATTAAAGTCAGCTGTATCTACTGAAACACTCTCAAGCGTAGTTTTAAAAGACTGTATATAGCAGTTATGTGAATGTAACATATCTTGGAGAGATCTGATCAAATGTAACAATTGGCACTTGAAAACCGCGTTGATGTTTGTGTATCTGGATCTGCAATAAAAGAAATTTGCAGAAATTTGTGATCATCGGGTCGAAGTGGTAGCGAGCTCCCAGCTAAGTGATACACTTGCCTTTTTTTTTTTAAATGTATATATACACCACGCTCAACGACTTGCTTACTCATATAATAAAAGGTCATTTGAAATGCGTTATTATAACGGCGTATATAAATTGCGTATGAATTGTTTGGATTTCGGATGACCACCCGTAAGAGATCGTGACCGTGAATTAATACTATACGATCGCCTTTGAAAGGAATCGAAGGATCGTAATTCATGGCATGAGTCGATGAGTTGCATGAATTTAGGTACTCTTTTTTTTCGGTGGTGTTAATATTGGGAGATTGAAATATTTTTAGATTCTCTGTACTTTTTTGTATAATTTCATAATTGCTCCTCAGCGATATCAACAATCAGCTGCGTGGGTAGCGGTGGAAAGACCCTCAGCTGACGCAGTAAAAGTTAAAAATATTGGAGCATTGCTACTACGATGTCTCCTTTTAAACACATATTTCGACATAGATTCTGTCTCACTCCTCGATATTTAAAGTTGGTAGAACTGTCAAGTGTCACTTGCAACTTGACACGACTTCACACCAGTCACTTTATCTTGGTAGGTTATTTTGGTGGAAGTTTTCGGCAAATTTCTCACTTCACAGTAATTAATCGCGTGTGACTCCGATTTTCCTGCACTTTCCACAACTTGATCTTTGTTGATAGTAGCAGAGTAGTGTTATTAGCACGGGTTTAAGTACAGTTTCGAGATATTTCGACACCAAAATTTGGGAACCAATTTGTGCTCTGCGTTGCCAGGGTTTCATGCTCTCACAGGCTGCGATTTCAATCCTGCATTTTACAGGAAAGGAAAAAATAAGCCTCTACAATTGTTGCGAAAATCTCAGGCATATATGCAAGCATTGGGTAATATTGCAAATATCCCGAATTGTATAATAGACCACGTCTTCGCAACGATTGAAGAATTTGTTTGTCGTCTGTACGGATTCAAAGGGATAAACGATGTCAACGCTACACGAGTCGCCACGTTTAGTAAAAACAACGAAACTAATAATAAGAACGATATGCTGAAGTGGAAAAAAACGGTACCGATGGAGCTATCTTCCCACCATGTAAATCGGAGCTACGCCAGCATTTACTGCGAACTTCATACATCCTACATACTTGGAGCCATGCTCACCTTCAAGAGCCTTCTCAATTATCTCCCATTGACTGGGGATGGGAAGAAAAAGAAGACAAATATGTTTTCAAATGGTTCGAGGGATATCAAGTACCCCCACCAGTCGGCAGTATAAGGGATAGCAAGCAAAATATTGCTGGTATGGAATTTTTGTTGTTGACACTTTCTTTGAGCGTGTATATTCTGGTATGCGAATTTTAATGATTAACCTGTTCATTTACAGGTGATGAAGAAGAGGCTCGAGATCAGGAACACGAAAAAGATGAAGAGAACAATCTGACAGACGAAAGTTCTGATAACGATTCATCTGGGGACGATGACGTTAGCGATACTGTCGATTACGAATAATTCTATATCGATTTCTATCTTTCTATCTCTTTTTTTTTAAATTCCTTAGACTTAGTTGATGATATTTCCATTTTACTCTCCATATTATTTTATATTATGCATTTCTTTCATCTATGTAAAATAAAACAAGAAAAACAGCAAAATATTTTCGTACGATATTGTTACACATGCTATAAACTTCTCGAGATTATCATTAAATTTTCAATATGCCGGTTGAAATTAGACAAGACTGTAGTTTAATAGTTACGTTTGCAAAAACAATCAGTCAGTTGGGGGCGGACAGGGGACTTCTGTCAGCTGGACCCTGAAAGAAACTGTGCATTACTCGAATAATCTATATCCTTAGTGCGTCAGCTGACGGTCTTTCCACCGCTACCCACGCAGCTGATTGTTGTTTTCGTACTTTTGATAATTGAAACAATCACTTAGTTAAATTTCATAAGGCGTACTAAGTATAACTTTATTTTACGTGTTTTTTTACAAGTTCAAGCGAGCGGCTGACGCATACTCCCCCCTCCACTATGCAGCTGAAAATTTTGTTTTAGCTCTGTATGATGTAAAATATTTATGAAATGAATTTCAGCCGGCGTACTATGACTTAATTTTTTATATTTTTTCACCACTCCCGGAACCTTTCAATCCTACACCCACCGCGGGTGCGTCAGCTGAGGCTCGGTTCACTTATCAGTCATTCCACATCTATTGAACAAGATGGCAACCGACCGGCGTAAAAACACTACCTAAAATGCAACGATACCTCTCGGACTATATCTAGGTAGACCTATTCAAGTGCCATTTGTATTTTGGTGAATTATAATTATAATGATTACAGTATCAGTAGGTAACAATGGATACGTACCAAAGTCCCTCTATTGCATTCGGTTTTTTACATTTTACAAATTAGGCAGTGCCTGTGTAAGCTAGTACCTAATCAATCTGCTGATAAACATACTTATATATTTATAAATACATACATATTATACATATCCTGTTATAGATAAAGTACACCCGAACACAGAACCTAATCTTATATCTAATTTAAAGTAATCTTACTGATTACAGAACAATAAATTTTTATAAAATAAATATTTTACTGTTATATGATGCAATTAGAGTTTACCGAATATATATTTTCAATACTTAGGTATGTTATAAATGTGAGTGTTGTTTGTTAACCACTTAACCGATTTAAAACATTCTTATACCATTAGAAAGCTACATAAGTAGCGAGTAACATACGCGATAATCCAGATACACGCGGGCGGAGCCGCAGACAAAAGCTAGTACATAATAAAATGATAGCAAAACTGATAACTTGGAAGAATATAATATCGCAGGAGAGCCATGCTTCTGAGGAGAGGAGGCACATATGGGGCTGGCTAGGCAGGAGTGATGCCATGACCTCACAGCACACTAGTGCTAAGCAAGTCTTGACAAGGAGTGATTACCAGACGCCCAACCCTAGGTGTTCCCTGATAACGGGAGGGGGCACAAGAGCGGTCTGGGGTTGCAGGGGCCCACGGGCGACGGTAATCACTTACCATCTGACGATTCTTCTGATCATTTGCCTCCTAAACCATCTATACAGATAAATAAAATAGAAGTGTCTGTTTGTAATGTCAAAATAATATGTTATTTGCACACGATACCCATGCCTAAAAACCAGTTTAAATATTTTTTTGTCTGTGTGTTTGTTACATTACTGTTACATACGCCTATTACAGACGCAGAGTGGCACACCGTGTGGTTTTAGTCGGTCCGATTCCGACACACCACCTCGCCGCAAACCCCGGTGGGGTGACGGCCTGAGGGGGTTTCCATACGTAAAAAAAAGGTAGCTGTCAAAAATAAGAAGTAACTTGGGCTATAAAATTTTGTGGGCTCCGGAAATCGAAGGCAGCGCCTTTTAAATTGCTAGTAAAAAAATACATGTCTACCTAAAACTCTACTCAAATGTAAACATTGTTATATTAATAACAATAATATAGGATATTTACCGGAGGGTTCTGCAAATAAATAACTTAAAACGAATGACATCAGTATTTCACAGCAATAATTAAAATATTTATTCATACAATAACCTAATTTAATCACAAATCAAACTCGGCAACGGCGATTATCAACTTTTTTCACCATACTAACTATTTTCACCATACCTTCTTCTATTTTCGTCCGCAATGTGTACCTACTAATTTAACAATATTTGTGTCACTTGAACTCAAACAGCTAAACATACATAAATCACAATTTAAAAAAAAGAAAAATGGAAACTAACGTGCGGTATTTCTGCACACGCCCGATTAATGCAACTAAACTGGGTGTTATCAACACGTACAACGCACATGAATGAGACAGCTGTGTTTAATGAGACAGATAATACACAGTTAATACACTGTCAGTGTGGTGACGGATTAAGAAGAGACGGATTAAGATACGGAATGTCACCACCCCTGTTCATCCCGTGGGTGTCGTAAGAGACGACTAAGGGAGCAAACTGCGCAGGACAACAGCACTGCAAAGAGAAGGAAATCTTGAAATAAACCCCATACCAACCCGTCTGGCCAGCGTGGTATAGTAAGCCAAAACCTCCTTTCTAAGGAGAGGCCTATGTCCAGCAGTGGACTGTTAAAGGCTGTTGATGAATACACTGTTTATCATAAAATGTATCTCTGTCTCTTTTTTAAAGTACTGAACTGGCCCTGTCCGTGAATAATTACCTACAGCTTACGTGTATATTATAATCTAGCCATCAAGTATATACCTATATCGATTCTCCCTGCAATATCAAAAATATTATAGACACTAGGTTAGTTAACTACCTAGAACATAATAATTTTCTATCGCAAGCGCAATATGGTGTCAAATCTAAATTATTCACTGCTGACCCGGTGCATGTCTTAACTAATTTTGTTACTAGTGAACTCGGCAAAGGTAATCAGACCTTAGGGATTTTTTTAGACCTTGCCAAAGCATTTGACACCATCTCAATTTCTTTACTGCTGTAAAAATTGGAGCGTTTGGTATAAGAGATACGCAGCTTAAACTTTTTACAGACTATTCAAGCAATCGGCAACAACGTGTTAAAATAAGAAATGTTGTGAGCGATGATGAAAAAATAATAGGTTTTGGCATTCCCCAGGGAAGTATCCTTGGTCCCACGCCCTTCCTGGTATATATTAACTTTCTATGTTATTTTACCTAAGAACATGGAAATATCATATGCTGACGCCACGGCAATAATTTTCACCGCAAAAACTAGCAACGAATTATATGGGAGCGTTTGGATTTAATATTGTTTATACTCGATAAAAGAATAATCTTCTAACATTAAATGCTGACGAGACCAAATATATTCACTTTTCCATGCGCAAAAATCAATACGCTGTAATTAACACTTCCATATACGCTCACCAATGTCCTGTCTCCTGCCAAAACTTGTCAGTGACTTCATGTAATTGTCCCTCCATCCAGGTAACCCATAACATAAAATATCTAGGAATTACACTCGACTACACTGTCCTTTAGAAAACACATTAAAAGTTTTAGTAAATAGAGTTCGTATATGTATTTAAAAAATTGCGAGCTATAGCAGATTTAAAGTTGATCACTCAAGTGTATTTATCTTTGTGTCAATCAATCATCCAATATTGTAGTATAACCTCGTGGGGTGGAGCACTAAAAACTATTATACTGCTTCAATGAGCGATTCTAAAGGGAGCCACCTCCCTGTTTCCTCCTATCTGAATCTCAGAAACGACTCCAACGATTTTCATGAAATTTAGTATGCAGGGGGTTTCGGGGACGATTAATCGATCTAGTTAGGTTTAATTTTTAGGAAATTTACAAAAAAAAAAAAACCAAAGCTCGGTCATCCAGTTACTATTATATAAATCGTGCAAGGTGATGACTCTCCGTCAAATTTTCATACAATAGGTCTTTACCTATGAAATTGCCGTTTTGTATGCAATAAGTGAAAGTACTTATTTTTTCAAACTTTTTTATTTCTGTTATTGGAAGTAATCATCCATGCAATCGACGCATCTTTGCCAACGCATTGGCAGTTTATTGATGCCCTTCTTGTAAAAATCAGCTGGACGGGAGGCAACAAACTCTTCAAAGGCATTTTGTACTGCCTCTCGGGAATTGAATTTTTTACCCACTAAGCATTAATGCAGATGTGTGCTGTGAAGAACTGGAGAGAATGATGGAGAAGCTTGCACATCTGCAACCAGCTTTGGTCAATCGGTCGTCCCCACTGCTCCTTCACGACAACGCGCGACCCCATACTGAGCAACAGACAGTCTCCAAACTGGAAGAGCTGGGGTTGGAAGCTCTCCCTCATCCGCCATACTCAAAATAGCGAGCAAAACGTCACTTACAAAATCTTTTGTCGTCCACACAAAGGCGAAGAGTAAAACAGCCCCATCTCCATCCGAGACTAGAACGCCGGCGCGCAGGACCTCTACGGAAGCTCGAACCCAGTCGCCGCCAGTGTCAAAAACCAAATACACCTCGAGGACCGCTGAGGCTAGAGCCATTGCGGTATAGGCCAAGACGCAACTGGGAATTTCCAGGAACATAAAGGCGGACATAAAAACAGATGTCACAGCGGCGATTGGGCGATAATACGAGCTGGTTAAGGAATCGGAAAACGAAACTAAAAGGAAAGGCCGAACGATCGAAAAGATCGAACTGACGAAACAGAAAGTGCCCTCACTTTCTGTTTCTTGAAAATAATGCTCAAAGATCACACAAGAGCTAAAGAAGTGTAAGGATGGGTGTTGAGAGAGAAATTAAAAGATGTTGTTATGACAACGATCAGATTTATTCTCCCGTAAATACAACAATCATCACTATTTTTATCCTAAAGTAATACGTATTATATATTTATTACTACACTACACCTCCCTTCTTTTAAAAAAAATAAAAATAATACACGGTACTTATTTTATTATACAATTTCCTTAAATTTAAAAGCATACAATATTTATGGTAAGTACAAACACTAGGCAAATATGACAAACTTAAGTTCTATACAATTTTGTTCTAAATTTGTGAACTGTTTCAATTTTATTGTCTCTAATTATTTTTACATTAGGTGATACAACTTCTAAAACTTTAAAGGGACCAATATAAACATTCTGAAATTTATTGCAATTTTCATTTCGTAATAAAATTAAATCATTAGGTTCGTAAATAGTTGGATTAATTTGTTTATCGTAATTACGTTTTCGGATATTTCAAGGTTAATGGATAATCATCAGTATTGTAGAGAGGCTCAACTTGTTGAGCCTCTTTTTAGGTAATTTACACTTTTTAAATTTTAAATTTTTAAATTTTGTAGATGTGTGTACAGTAGTATTAAACTAGTAACTAAAAGACCAATAGGGAAGCCAAGTGCTCCACTCTCTAGAACTATTATCTGCAGTCTATTTAGTAGTAGTATAGTCTGTATCCGAAGATAAGCATTTAAATTTTTATGTGTATTTTCAAGCGCACTTATAGAGTCATGATGGTAAGCGGTTGAAAACAATTGTTTAACACCAAGTAATTTACAAAGCTCACTCATCGTTGATGCTATGAACTCTAAACCTTTATCTGTCGCGATTTCTCGCGGTATACCATACCTGAGAATGAAGTTTTCTACGAAAGATTTTGCTACGGTGACAGCGTCCTTAGGATCTAAAGGATATGCTTTTACGAACTTAATGAGTTCGCACTGAATAGTTAAAATATATACCTTACAATAATAATCCTTATCGAGGGGCGCCACTAAATCTAAAAATATCTTATCAAATGCGCCTGTAGCAGTGCTAGTTACCACCATAGGCAAAGAATGCTTTTGCATTTGGCAATTCTTGAGTTTAGTTACAAAATCAGTAACGTCACGTTCCATTCCAGGCCAGAAATAAGATTTTTTTATGTTATTTAACATTCTTCTTATTCCGACATGACCACTGGTTGGTAGGATGTGATAGTCAATAATGATTACTTTTTTGTCATCTTTCGAAATTATTCTCGTAACCTCCTTTAGAATATGTAGTCGTGGTCCGGACCATGAATTTTTATTATTTATTTCTCTTGACCAATCTACAAATTCATTACAACTTCAAGTTTTATAATAAAGTGATTTTTTATATTCATTATTTTACAATATTGCTCCAGTTACATGATCGGAAATCTGGACAAGTATACAATCTCATTTCACTTTTACTACATAAAAATCTATCAAGACTATTTAATTTACTATTCATAATATTCATTTTTCTCCGAGAAATCACAAAATCATACTCTTCCAAAACTAAAAGAAATTTCGTCAATCGACTTAAAGGATTGTTCATGTCAAATCAATATTTATTGATGGGCGAGAGCGATGATCTAAGAAAATTTTAAACCTTTTCCCATACAAATGAGGTCGGAAATATTTAATAGACCAAACAACAGCTAGCATTACTTTTTCTACGTTTGGAAATTTTACCTCAGCTTCATTTAAGCTACGACTTGTATACTCTACTGGGCGGCCATCCCTATTACATAAAGCAGAACCTGATGCGTCTGTGTACAGCTGAAATTGATTGTCATCCGAAAAATCTGGGTTCTGCAATAAAGGTGGAGAAACTAAGCTATTTTTAATAGTTCAAATGACTTGGCACATTCATGTGTCCAAAGAATTTCGTCATTTTTCTGATAAATTTGTTTTTAACTAATTTGGAATAAGCAAATAAGCAAAATTTGGAATAATAAGCGCGATAATGGTTAGATAAAGCTACAAATTGCTTTACGTCATCAGCATTTTTCGGTAGGGGATAATTTTCTATTATTTTTGTTTTATCAGGCTCAGGTTTCACTCCATCTGCACTAACTATATGTCCCAAATACAATAACTCTTTTGCCAAAAACTTGCACTCGTAATCTAGAAATAATATCTATTAATTTTTTATTGTAGTTCTCTAAATTATGTCCAATGCAGACTAAATCATCCAAATACAGAAGACATTTATCGTAATTTAAACCTGATAACGCTATAGACATTGCCCTTGAAAATGCGCTAGGACTGGTCTTAAGACCCATTGGAATCCTTTTCATTTGATATTGCTTTTCAAACGTGAAAGCAGTGAATTTTCTCAATCAATCATTCAATCAATCAGTTTTTATTGTGAAACATAGGTATACAAAGGTTGTTTACAGTGGTAGATGTACTATGTTCTGTCATTTAGGCTTACAATAATTAAAAAAAAAAAATTGTGAATCGCTAAATTTAAGACATGCAAATAGAATTACATTTAATTATCGCAATTAAAGCAATATAATATTTCAGTTTGATTTTTCATACCTTAGAGCTTA